TTAATTTATAATCAGTCACAAGAACGTTGAATCTGAATCACTTGAAAAACACGGGGGTGCTTAACTTTTTTCCAGGTGTATATAACGTAATATATACACCTGAGGGTTAATTAACTGTTATGTAATATGTAAAAGACCTGTAGTTTTAGAGCTACTGACAAGAGGGCACAAGTATGATGATGAGCGCACAGATGAACCACTAGAGGGGGATGTAGATCAACATGACATTAACTTTATAGTAACAATCAGTTTTAAATTTAATAATTTAATCTAATTTACATAACATTATTTTTATAGTTTCACTTTAGAAGTAAGACATCAAATCTAGGATGTTGTTACCAAGGTTTTATACAGTATTACTATACTTCCATAGAATTTCTTACAGACTACAACTTGTCTCAATATATGTTTATAGTTATCATTTATATATTTAATTGCATACGTTTTATAAAGACAGATGGTATTACTAGGTGGATTGTATTACTATAACTGGATGATCTTACTAAAGTTCAGTAATGCAATAACAGATGGTTCTTTTATAAATGGATAGTTAAATAGGTTGATGACCTCGTTGAAGGGTGTATGAACATGTGATTACGTCATCAATGTTTAGATTTAATTATGTATCCTAAAAGTTACTAGTAAAACCATTATTTTAATAAGACAGCTAGTATAACACAGTGTATTACATATGTCAGTTTTATTATACATACTATCTTAATTTATCCATCATTTGAGCAAGACAAATATTATAGCCAATCATTTACTTTACATACTTTTACAATTATCTGTTGCTTTATGTATAAACCATTTCAGTAATCCATTAGTTCTATAGGTTTGCTTCTATATTTGATTTACATGACATACTTTTTGCATTTTCTGAAATTTTATAAGTAAAACACTTTATTTGTTCTATAGTTTCACTTCTATATCTAGTATATGACATTTATTCTTTCTGAAAAAGACACTTATTTAAATCTAAAAATATACAATAATTTTGATGTTTATCTTTATAAGTTGGTTTGTTCCACTAAAGTTTAGTTTATAAAAATCTATGTAAATAACTTTGTTTAGGCATTACTCTAGTAGAAAATTATATTCTAACTTTTCTGTAGATATTTTCATTTTGAACATTAAATGAGCTACTACATATAGGTGTTCTTTCCACTTCTATCTGAGGTCATTAACATTGAATGCCAGTGATAGAAAGGTCAAAACATACAATCACTAAATGGTGTAGACACTTCAACTCTGCCCCCCAGTGGCACAGTGGTACGTCTGCGGACTTACAACGTTAGAATCCGGGTTTCGATACCCGTGGTGGGCAGAGCATTGTGTAGCTTTGTGCTTAATTACAAACGAACAAAGAAAGTTCAACTCTATTGGATATTTAGTCTGACTCTCAGTTGACAGTATGTCGACCCTCTTACTAAGAGAGGAGGCTGATAACATTCAAATTCAATATGGAAGAAAATATTTTATGAAAACAAAATTGAACAAGTCAGTTATAATACATTGTATATGTCGATATTTAGGATTATATATTCATCAGTAAGATATAAATCTCATAAATATCTTTACACTATACTCAATACTGAAAATAAATTGTTCAAACTCTACATAACCATATATTTTCTACATAAATTCACGAACAAGTATGTTTAAACAACTTATACAAGTCTCCATTTATATTTCTTATATTTCTTATATTATATTCATTATAGTCCAGAACGCTATTTTTAATATATGTATATAAAATCATAGAGTTAGTATCACACGTACTGAAACATTTGTTAACAAAACTTCAAGACACATTAATATACTATTTATGAAAACATCTTAGTTTATAAAAATCTGGCCTACAGGCCAGTGTAATAATGCCTGCAGTATGTACTTGTTCTAGCATGCTATTAGTCAAATAGAACAAATCTCCCTAAACAAAACGAAGGGACATTCCAGTTAAAATTATCATAGAAACTATACAACATAAATCATGCACTTGAAATCCATAACTAATTTGACTGTCTTCTGTCAGGCTGGAATTTCAGACATTAGACCCATCCCCTATCACCTAAAATGGATGTGTTTCACCATAGCTTAATATACTATCATTAATATATGCAAGTAAACATCACAAACGTGTCAAGTATCACACAAACCGAAACATTTATTAACAAAACTTCAAGTTAGAAAAAGACAACTTTATCTACGATTTATCATAATTAATGTGCATACAACCTACTTTTGAAGCTTTAAGAACAAAAACTGTAAGTTTTGACAAAATATTTCAATTTTGTTGCTTCTTACAATAAAAGATACATTATACAAGATAAGATGATTCTTTCACATTTTATAAATACATCACATTTACTGTTTATCACTACAGAATATACTTTAAAACAACAATATACAATTACAGACTTGGCAAGCATATTGAAACATTTATTAACAAAACTTCAAAGTATTCTAATATACTACAAACCATCTTATCATATAATATAATGAATTAGCTTTCATTCATTATGCTCATATTACTATTTCAATGAGAGCTTATTTCATCCATATATCATTATGCGAAACAAACACTGTATTTATCACGAGACATTTTAATATAGATTTTAAAATGATATTATGGTAACTTGACGTATTATATTTTACCTTATACAAAGAATATAGAATTTTGTTATTCGTTTGTCAGTTACAATCAGTGTTCAGTCTCAAATGTCACAAATTTTGAATAAGTGGACTCAAAGCCTAACTAAAGATATAAGGTTAAATAACATTTAAGTTTAACATTTTATGATAAGCTTGAGAGACAAGACAAATGAACATTTACGAAGGTTACTAAAACATAGTTGAGACACAGTCTATTATTTATCTAGACATACTTGAACACTCATATCCATTAACAGCATTAAGAAAGTTGGTGATATATACACAGCGTGGTCACAAGTAAATAGACACCACCTTTTCAGATTCATAGGAATTGATATATTTATAATTTAATTAATATCTAGTAAATCTTCCTTTTGCTTCGTGGAGTTCGTTGATCCTTTGGGGCATCGTGAGAATCATCTCATCAATTTTAGATTGTGGGATTTTCGCTCACTCTTGCTTCAAAACTTGGAGTAGATCGCTCTTCGAAGTTGGTTTTTTTGGTTGTTTCTTGACTTGCCGGTCGAGTATGGCCCAGAGGTTTTCGATGGGGTTCATGTCAGGAGATTGGCTTGGCCAGGGCAACTTCTGGATACCATTTTCTTCCTGCAACGTTTGGGTGTTTCTAACAGTGTGACACGGTGCTCGATCTCCCACCAACCCAAACAGCTCCCCAAACCATCACGCTGAAACCACCATGCTTCACAGTTGGCTGCAGTC